GCTAAGACACTAGGGCTATGGCTTCACTGTAGCCTTCTTCTGGAAAAGCTTATGCAAATGAAGCGTGGTGTGGAATATCGCCCTGTTTCATTTTCATAATTAATTAGCAGCCGCTTTTGTGCAAGAGGCTTTTGCGCAAAAAGAAGCTGTGTAGATGGCTCCTTTTTGCACAAACCCCCCCTCCTGCGCAAGAGCTTTTCTTCCGCATTTTTTTGTGCAAAAGCCTCTTGTGCCAAAACACAGCCTAATTAATGATGCAAATGAGGCATGGCAATATTCCATGCTTTGCCTCATTTGCATATTTTTTGCGCAAAATGGGGACAGTGTAGACATAGCCTAGGGATTCTAATTCTAGGACTTCTACTGACTGTTCTTAATACTTCTGTGCACTTCCCAAGTTTTATTAACCCAGGTGTCTGATCTCTAAAGTGAGGCAATTATTTACCCATTTTATAGACAAAAGATTGTAGAGAAGGCACCGTGAGCAATGTTGATACAACAGTCCTAAGTTTCATCGACCTATGCTGCCTTTCAGGTGTAGTGGGCCAAATTATGTTTGTTTATTATGTATGCCCAGTACCCATGCCAAGCAGTGTGGATCTTTATCCTTCTTTAGCAACTAGACTAGAGAGGTTGATTTGTCCGCTGCTCCCTCCCTGCTTATATACATTGTTCTTTAACCCAATCTCAGGCTTTTAGAATCAGTGATGCCAGGTTTAGTCATGCAGGTTACTCAAACGAGGCGTTTTTATGCTGTCTTTAATCAATATCCTAACCCCTACTCATAGAGCCAGGGATAGAATCCTCGTGCTCAACCTTCAGCTTCTAATTCACAGTTATGTAATCTAATGATTTTAAAATTGTTCTCTAATATGGCAGGACTAATTGCCACAGTGCCTCGTGCTGGAGTGCCTCCTTCTGGCCAGTGTCTCGCCTGCTGTTACCTGTTAATGGCTCCACCAACTTGTGTTAGGACCCACGTCCCTCCTGGACTATGGCATCCTCCCCTCTGGGTACTGCAGTGTCTCCACACTCAGGTCCTCTCCACAACCCCCTATGCCTACCTTGTCTCAGTGACCCACTACCAACTTTCATCTATCCCCTGCCAGAGGGACAAACTTCAGTCTGAAATGGCCATTCATCATTGGCAAGGGGGCATGGACCTACGGCCTTTGCCTGTCCTGGCTATCTGGAGCCCTAGCGCCTTCAGGCCTTGCTTCAGGCCCCAGAGCCTGGGATCTTGCCTGGCCAGAGCTTCCCCAGCTTTGCTGTACGTCAGGAAGCCTCTAGCTGCTCTGGCAGCTAGGTCCCTTCTACTGCACAGCTGGAGCAAGAATGAGTCAGTCTCTGCCCCGCCAGGAGCCCTTATTTATACACCTCAAGGGCTGGGTTTTAACCCTTAAAGGGCCAGTGCGTACAGACACCGCATTACATTTTCTCTCCGCTGCTCCTCACAGAGGATAACTGCACGTTTCAAGTATTCCTATAGTTATAATGGTTGAAGTCCATGTTGCCTGCCTTAGGGCTATGGGTTCAGTTCTGATTTATGGCCTATATAGGAAAGTTTAGTGCACAGACCTTAGAACAAATTAATAGGTCACACTAAGGTGGAGTTGGATATTTGTTTTATTGTATTTTTAGTCACTTTGTTTAACGGCTGCTTTCACTTTAAGAACAAGATAGGGACACCTATGGCATTTTTTGAAGAAAATAGAGCATTGTGTGGGAAATGCTTGCTGTGTGTGTAAGGAGGGGAAATTGCTGGCTAGTTGTATTAAAAATTAGTCTGACCCCTCAAATCTTGAAAGAGGCTAAAATAATAACTTTTTTAAAAAAAGTAATACATATTGAAAGTTCTTTGTATTCGCCTTTTGGTATGAGTCTTTAGGATAACCCTGGAAATTTGATCCAGGTATTTCTCAGCCATCTCTTTAACAATGAAGGCTAGAAAATTGCTTGTTTAAAAATTAAAGCCAGGATCCTCATATAATCACGTGACTGCAGAAGTTGGCACTTTAAGAACAACAATTTTAAAATTCTTGATCAAATAAGAGTTTGCTAACACCATGACAATGTAAGGTCCAAAAAAGTAAGAATTTGATTTTAAAAAATCTTATCTTTCTAGAAGAGAAACTTAACACTTGTTGAAGATGTAACATTAACCCTTATCAAGAGGATTAGATGTCTCATGACATCATTATCTATGTTCAGAGTCTTTTTGTCCCTTTAGGTCACAAGTAAGAAACCAACCAATTCAGCGGGTATTAGGGATATTAAGAAGCATGTAATTCATTAATCATGCAGTTGACAAACATTTTGTCAACTACTTGATTAAAAGATAAGGGATAGCACTCGGTCTAGGCTTGTACCCGGTCCGGTAGCTACCCCCTCTGTGGCTCTGCATTTAAAGTGTTTTAGGAGCAGGGCAGGCACTTAGCCTGGCTCAGACCCAGCTCGCACTAGGTCCAGGACCTACTCCTGCGCAGCTCTGCTTTTAAAGTATATTAGGAACCAACCGGTGGGCAGGCAGCTCAGCTCACTCCCGGCTCACATTGGTTCCGGAAGCTACCCCATGCTGGAACACACAAATATTCTGAAATACAAAACACAACTGCTTTCTGTGAGTGTGAAAAGAACAAACTTTAAGTTGTTACTACAGGTTGAACCTTTCTGGTCCAGGACTCACCATGGATGTTGCCAGACCTTTCCTTAGGACTGAACAAGATTAAATGGAGCCAGCGTACATGGCTATAAATGCACTTATACACACCTTTACTTCTTTGTAACGTAAGATCAGGATTGAGGTCCAAATGTGATTAAGCACATTTAGTTGAAGCAGGAAAAAAATGCATGAAATGGGAGAGAGTAATTTGACTGATAGAGTAGAGAGGAACATTTATACTACATGTATTGCCTCAAATTTGAATTTTAAGACTAACTGTGTTATTTTAAATGTATTCCAGATTGGTTGGAAAATGTGCAGGGACAAAAAATTGTTCAAAAGAAAAGAACAAAAAGAAGAAAAGGGTTAAAAACTCCTCCAGACTCCATGGATTGTTTGATGGCAGAAATGCCATTTGCCAATGCAGATAGTAGAGATGAATTTGGCAGTAAGTATACTACAAATTTGTGTAAACGTATGTAGATCAAACATTTAGACCCTTCTCTGCTAGTTGGCCAATGCAGGCAGATCTCACCACTTAAACAAAACCATGTGAACTAATTTGCAGAGTTGGCCATATAGTTACATTCTTATTAAGCTCAATTCTGCAAATACTTAAACATTTAGAAAATTTCTGTCCCATTGTCTAAAAGAAGACTCTTCTACTTACAACTCCTAATTCTGTATATGTATTTTATATTTGAAAACAGTAAAAATCAGGGCCTTTCAATGATATATAGTACCTTTAAATGGCTCAAGGGGTGTTGTATTTCATATTGTGTATATTTTTTCTTAATCTTAAACAGTTTTGTCTTCCTTCTCCCCCAGTCACTAGTACATTTGAAATATATTTAAAAAAGAAGACAAAGAAAACTACTGGAAGGAAGACTGAAGAAGACAGTCAAACAAAGAAGAAAAAGCAAGATCGTCCAAACTATTTCATTTCTATTCCAATTACAAACCCAAAGGTGACATTCTTTTTCTATTTTTCTCTTTTTCTAAGGGAAATATTCCTTCAAAATGAATGAGTAAGGCAAGCAATATTTAGCCTATAAAGCAGCAGTTCTCAAACTATGAGATGGGCCTCCCATTGAAGGCACAGAAATGCGTCAAGGGAGGTGTGAGCTGTATTTTTTTAAGCACTCTGGCTGTTTGCCCCTAACATCTGTGACTAGGGCTTATATAGATGTACCATGCATACCCCTGAGGCAGAGGTGAAGGAGACACCTGGACCCTGCCACCTGGACTTGAGCTCTCTCCCTATCTAGTCCTTCACCTCTCCTCCCATTCACTCATCATAGAGTAATCAATTCTCCTGACTGGGTGCCATTTGTGGCAATGGCATCTGGTCTGGGAGAGTTGGCAACCCTGATTCATTGGGAGGTAGACCTAGCTCAGGTTCTCCTCTCCTTGCTGCCCCACCCCAAATCCCTCAATTAGAGAGATCAGCCCTAGGTGGCAGCAGCAATACAGAAGTAAGGGTGGCAATGGGGTCCTAAGTCTGCTGTGAAAAGTGTGATTGTAAATCCACAAAATTGTAAGAGGACTGAGGGTAGGTGTATAGTACATGAAACCACCTTCACTCATTTTATGAAGTCGACTAGTTTCATTTAGACTGTTTTTCTTTAAAACATGGACTTTATCTAATTTGCTGTATAATTCATGGTGAACAAAACAATTCAATCCAAAACTTGTAAACTTGTTACGTCCTTATTGTCTAAAAAGAAGCATTTATAGGTATATCATGTGGTTTTACATATACCTATTATTATCTCTCTAATATTTCAGTTCTAGTAGCAATGCTTGATTATATTTCTCATTCTACAACTGATTGCATAAACCTCTGCGCCCATGCACAGTCTCACTAAAATCAGTAGAGCCAAGTGCAGGATCAGAATCAATATGTCAATATAATCGGCGGACCACAGCTATTATAACAATTATTTTACCCTGAAATTTGCTTTTAAAATAATTTACAATGTACTCTAGGTTAGATGGAATATTAAAGTCTGATGTGCTTTGAGTAGAATAGTATCTTGTCAAATGAGGTGTGAGTAAGTAAGCAAGAGAGAGAGCACTTTTTAATGCTGATTGGTTTCAGTTAAAAATAAAGTGGGGCACAGTATACCTCAGACAAACTCTGGCTACAATCCAGTGACCCCAATTCTGCACATGATCCTGAATATTCCCATTGATTTGGACTGCGCATGTGAGTTACATGCATGGATTTATAAGTGCTTGAAGGACTGGAACCTAAGAAATACTGATTGATTCTATTTCTCCCCCAAAGGGGGTCCTTTAGTGCTTTTTGCCATCCACGAGACACTGTGTTGTGGTAACTGACCTTCTGGAGTAGGGACTGCACACATATATTTTAGGAACCTTTAAACACAGTCTCTGACTCAAAGAATCAGTTTAGTTACAAAAGGAGTTAAATAGGAGCTGACCACAGAACTTCAGGAGTTTTGGACCTTACCAGGCATGCTATTTTTCTCCTCTTTCCTTGCTGTCACTCCACTTCTGTTGTAATTTATTACTGATTTATATGCTGTCATAGAAGGTTCATGGCACATAAAGACAAGACTCTTATGTGGCAGAGCTTGTGTAAGGCTCTGAGCATGAATGTTGCTGAATGCTCACAACTCTCATTTTTATTGTGAGAGGGTTTTCAGCATCAATAAGGGTTTTAATATAAAGCGAGAGGCAAAGATTTACATGGTAAGGATTTTTCCCTTTTTAATTCAAAAGAAGACTGTTCTTATGAAAATTTGGTGTGTGTGCATGCGTTTGTATGTATGTATATATATATACACATGCACGCAGCACACATCCATTTTATACAACTTTAATTTATAGATTTCAAAACGATTTTGAGGTCTTCTAAATTGGTTCTTTTAGGTGATTTGCACTAAGGCTGGCTTGGCTGTAGTGTTTGATAGATGATATTCTGTTTATAATTCACCTAGTTTCGTTCAGGAAATTACTCATTTTACCAAATACTCAAGATGATTTTACATCAGCTATATTTGATTTGACTTGCACTGAAATTATTATTTTGCTTTGTAGCTATTTTTTCTAATAACCGTGATTATTATACTTTCATGTGAAATAAAGACTGTTGGAAAAATTTAGCATGCAAGCATTTCTTTGTGTAATTACTGATAGAATGACAAAATTAAGCTAACTCTTCTTTTTAAACAGGTAGATTGACAATATTTTAATAACAGCAGGTAACAATATTCTGTATAAAGAAACTCCTGAAAATGTATTTGAAGAATGGGTCAGTTCTAGTTTTCTCGTCAAATAAATCAGGAGTTGTAACTCAAATGGTCCAATACATTATTTACTTAATTCTCATCTATGCGATACATACAAAATCTTGGCAGAAGCCTCTAATTTGGGATGTTGACAGCAAAACACTGGGGAAGAGTGCAGCAACTTAAACCAGTGGTTCTGAGTCAGGGCACATGTACTCCAAGTGGTTTGGAAGAGGTCTTTTAGGGGGTACAAAAATGTAAATATATGCTTAGTTTTACAATGGCTATATAAAAAACACTAGCAAAGTCAGCACGAACTAAAAATTCATACAATGACTGTTTATACTGCTGTATATATTATACACTGAAGTGTAAGTAAGTTTATATTCCATTTGATTTATTTTATAATTATATGGTAAAATGAGAAAGTAAGTAATTTTTCAATAATAATATGCTGTATTTTTACATCTGATTTTATAAGCAAGTAGTTTTTAAGGGAGATGATACATGATGGTACAATAGTTTAGAAAGGTTGAGAGTCACCGCCGTAAACTATTTGGGGAATTATCAGGCTTCAGCTGAGGACAAGTTAATATTGAGCCATGATTCTGGGATGTCCAGCCATACTCTAATAACTCCATTAATTCCTACCCATTTTGAGTTTATTCAGGCAGAGTAACAAAACTCTATCAAGAAGATGTTGAAACTTGTGTCTGTTCAACAGTTCTTATGTCAATACCTGTATCTGATTTTAGTGAGTTTGTTTTCTTGCTTGCTTGTATTGTGGGATAACGAAATAAAATGACTAGTTTTGTTTTTGTGTTTCTGGTTTTTAGATTACAACAGGTATTCAGGCTGTCCAAGACACATTAGTACAAAAGGATCACAGGCTTTCCCAAGCAATGGTTCATCATGGTTCTTTACATGTCACCCTGTTAATAATGCATTTATCAAGTGAAGAAGAAGTTGGCATGTAAGTATGTTGCTGTTAAATTATGTACATTAAAGATCTGTTTCTTTTGTTTTATGGGGGTTAAGGGAGGAAGACCCATTTTTATGTCCATGTATAAAGGGTAACATTAATGCTAAATTTCCTGAGACTGATCATATATCTCTACTTGTTCACAATAACATAATCTGGCGCATTCGTAGCAGTTTAATTCTGAGTTCAAGCTAAAGTTTGCAGTGAACCCTGAGAGACATGAAAGTGTTTCAGTTCTCTCACTATGTTACAATTCTTTATTCAGGTAGAGGTATCCATACACGACCAGTTCTGCCACTCCTCTTCAGTCCTGGTTTTTCATTTCCCTTTGTGTTTTGAGACAGCAGAGGTAGTAGTTTTCTGTGCTGGCTCACAACTGCTTTTTGTTTTTCTTCTAGGTCGGGGTGGGCAATAATTTTTGATGGGGAGCCACTTAATGAATATTGGTATGTAAATGGTACGTGGTCACGGATTGGTTCTACCCCCAGAAGGGTGGGGCTTGAGGAGGAAGGGCGCACGGTGGAAAACTTGTCTCTTCCCTAGAGTTGTCTGTGGCCAGAGGCTTTGAATTAAAAACAGAGCAAAAGGCTCACGGCTCCGCTGCTGTTGTGTTGCCTGGCAGCTGCCAAGGGTTGCTGCAGCTATTTAAAGGGCTTACGGCTCTGGCCCCTGTTGGGGTAGCACCTCAATTGCGAGCCATGAGCCATTGAAATAGGACCTGCTGCCTGAGCCACTGCTTGGAAATTCGATGGCACAAGCAAGCAGGATATATATAGAAAGCAGCCAGATGCAGTCTATGAGTCAGATCAAAGTGTTAGGTGTTAGTCGGATCTGGCCCCCAGGCTGCATCTTGCCCTACCCTGGTGTATGGAGTACATACACTGCATGTGTGGGTATAAATAGCAACACAGACAGTGAGAGATGTTATAGGTGAGTAAAGACATGCCTGAACCCTCAAGGTATATACCTTACATACCTTTTTTACATATCTAAGCAGTGCCGCCTCCTACCACACTAGTACTTTTTAGCAGCATAATGTCCCACTACTGGAGTCTGTCCTACTGTTGGGAATTGCTGGAGTTTTTCCTTACCACAGGGAAACACTCCAGCAACAGAGGAATGTTTTGGCAGGGGAGAGGCAGTGGGGAAAGGATCACCCCTGCTGGAGCCTCTCTCTGCTACAGGGTATTTCCAGAGGCTCTCTCTACAACAGTAAAAAACTCCAGCTGTGTGGATAAAAAGCTCTGATGTGGGGGAGCTGCTAGAACTTTTTCTTGCTGTCTCCTCACTGTCAGGGCCTTTCACTGATATATATAGCTTCACACCGGTTCTGGACACAGCCTGCTTTTTATTGCGGAGTGTAGCTACGTGTTCCCTGCACAGTGCTATCAGTGGTGTACACTATAGATATAGCCTAATAATATATTTATTTTGCAGGTAATTGCTGCCATCTAGTGACTATAAAGTCTACATCCTATTGGTGAAATAAACTAATATTTTATTGACAATAGTTAAGAGAATATGTCACTGCAGTAAGTTAGGAATGCCACACACAGTACAACTTCTATCACTGAGGTTTTATGTTTTATTGCTGTCATGACTCTAAAAATGTACTCGTTGCTTTCTCTTTACTACCATGAATCTGAAGGTCTTTTCAAGATAAGTGTAGTTATGTCACGTACATGCAACTGTCTAATGAAAATGATTATTAAAATGCTAACAGATCTTGCTTCTCAACTAAAGCATACATTTATTCTGATATGTACATGCTACTTATTTCCTCTCATCAACAAGATAAAGTAAGGAAAGTAATAATGATTCCTATCCCAAAGGCGCCCAAAGTGCTTTGTAGACTTATTGCTGTGCTATGCAAACTATTACAAAGGATCCTTTCAAGCAGCAATGAAACACCACTGGAGTGAAATGCAGCATCTGTTTAACAGAACACAGTAACTTTATGCAGTAATTTAGGATAGGAGGTGAAGTAGAATGCCATGTTCAGTTGAAATTTCAGGACAAATTAGGGAATCAGAATGTTAAGTATCGAAGTTGGAATTTGGCCAGTACACTGAATATTTCTGGGAAGTTTGAGCAAAACAGCTGTTGAAAGAGAGAACAAAAATACCCATACTCCCAATAGCAAAATGGCAAGTGACACCAATCCCCAGTTTTTTGTGAGATATCACAAAACTGTCCTTTGAAATTTCACATTTAGCATCATCATTCTGTAGTACTTCAATGAGCAATGCATAGTTGAAAAATACTCATTTTAAAGAATAAATTTATAATGTATGCAAATGCACAGCTGCCTATACACAGTAAGCAATTCTTATTAGATGTGATGTACAGGAATTAAAAAGAATCATAGAATCATAGACTACTAGGAGTGGAAGGGACCTCGAGAGGTCATCGAGTCCAGTCCCCCGCCCCCATGGCAGGAAGACATTATCTATTTAAGAAACAGACTACAGGCAGTCCCCTTGTTACATGGATCCGACTTACATCGGATCCCTACTTACAAACGGGGTGAGGCAACCCCACACTAGCTGCTTCCCCCCAGCAGACCAGGGAGACGCGAAGCTAGCCCTCCTCCCCAGCAGACCAGGGAGACGCGGAGCGGCTTTTCTCAGCAGACACCTCAGCTTGAGAATAAAGGACTGAGGGAAGTGAAGTGTGGGAGAATAAAACTGAGCTCTGGAGAAATGTTTGGCTAGAGTTTCCCCTACAATATGTACCAGTTCCGACTTACATACAAATTCAACCAACAAACCTACAGTCCCTATCTTGTACGTAACCTGGGGACTACCTGTATTTTAAAAAATGAGTTAAATAATATTCGGTGGTTTTACATTTTCTAATTTAAAAAAATCATCTCTGTTGCTTTCTGAAAGAGACACAAAAATGGAAAAACTGACAAATGAATCACAAAAGAAAACAATGAAACTGACAGTACACAACATAAGCAAACCAAAAAAAAAAATGCCTTCAATCGTTAAGTTACTATTTTAATTATTACTTTCACCAATAGTAGGGAAATAATTTTCTGGATTTTAGGTCTGATTTTCAAATTGAAACTCTCCTGTTGACTGATGATAATTGTCACAGGCTCAGTTAATTTAAGGCAAGAAGCAGAGCTATATGGCTAGAACAGAGACAGAAGGAGCCAGTATTAATGAGATTTCCTTAAAGATGTGCCCAATGCTTGGATCTGGCCATAGGAGTTAATATTGGCTGAGTACTAAACGTGCATTTGAAAATTTTAAACCTCAGGCCCAGGGGTTGGATGCGTCCCCTGGCTTGCCTGGATCTGGCCCTTGAGGCTCAGCATTGGGGAGCCCATGCTGGAGCTCCAGACCCCCTTGCTACCTACCCCTAGGGATGAAGCACACAAAATCTACTAGCCTGGGCCCCCTTAAGTCTGGTGTGCAAAGGGAATGTGGGGAGTCTTTCTCCTTCTCAGTAAGGGGCTTCTCACTTTGCTTTTCACTTATGTGCAGCCCCTGACTGATTTTTCTGTGTGTCAGTGGCCCCTGACCCAAAAAAGTTTCCCCACCCCATTTTAAATTCTGTAGGTGCACACTTATGCCAGATCCTGACCCCATTTAGGGATGTAAGTGACTAATTGAGTGAGTAATCGACTAATTGCTTTCCCCTTTCCCCAACTGCCTCTATATCAGAGGCAGCAAGGGTAGGGAAACAGGAGCCAATGCTAGGAGGGAGATGGCTTAAAAGCCGGTTCCCCCCAGCACCATCTCTACACTGTGGGGGTGGGGAGAAAGGGAGGCAGAGCTGCAGCAGTCCTGGGGCCGGCTTGAGTCAGGACTGTTCAGTCCTGGTTCATGCTGCCCCTGGGAACTAATCCTGCTGCAGCTCTGTACTTTGCTCTTACTACATTTAAAATGCAGAACTGCGGTGGGTGTGTACCCTCTCTTACTGACTAATCAAGTAATCGATAGAAATTTCATCGACTACTCGATTAGTTAACTGATACTTGACATCCCTAGTCCCGTTGGAATCAGTGGGAGGAAAAGCCACGCAATATGCATCCTTACACAACTAGTTATATGTTGAGTTTCAGAAACTGGTTATGACACACACATACTTTCACCAGCTCTCCAATATCTTTGTTGTTTCCTCAACATTTACTTGTAGAATGTTTTTGACTGTGTGTAGCAATCAAATGCCTCATTGGTCCTATCATGCTTCCCTAAGATCTGCACTGCATTGATGCTAGGCTAGCCCAACATGTGGCCATGGTCAGTGATGTTTTCAGTACCATCACCTGGAAAGAAATCTGACATTGCCTCTCGATCAACCTCTTCTACAGTTTGAGCTATGCTGGGTTTTTAGCTTACTCTTCCAGACGGGGTCAGAAAGTCCTCTGTTTGATTCCTAGAGACAGAACCCTTTTTAACAACTGAGATTCCTTCTCCCTGGTGCCCATCCTGGACTAAATAGCTCTGTTAATAATATTGGGCAGAAGGTTACATCTCTAGCACTCGTGTTTCTGGAGAGTATGGCTAAGGGCAACCATATGTTCCTGAAAAATAAGTATTTTCTCAACAGCCTACTTCTGATAGGGTGTTTAGCAGGGAAGATGTATGAACAATAAGTAGTGGATACATTGCATTAATAAATGTGCGCTCTGTGACACTGGGCAAGTCTCTCAGTTTCCCTTTCTATAAAATGCAGTGAATAATACCTATAGCATTGGTGTAAGGTAACATATAGGTGTTGTAAGGCTTAATTAATAACATTCTGAGATCCCTGGATAGAAGATGTAAGATAAATTAAATTATTACTATAACAAATAGAGATTTTTCTTCCCGTTTTCACAGAGCAGTTGGTGCTTTTTTAGAAAGCAAAGCTGCAGTAGAAGAACTCCTACAAGGAAAACATTTGGATTTATCATTTCAAGGAATTGATCATTTTAAAAATGAAGTTGTGTTTGTGGATTTTGCATCGAGTGATCATATAGCCACGCTTATGGAGATAGCCGGTAAGACTTATTAATATCATTACAAAGAGCTCAGAATGCTCTTCTAAGATCTTATTAATATAGGATTATGTTGTCCATTAAATGGGCAGTAAATTGCGAGTGGAATTTATACATTCTTCTGTTGGGAAAGCTGTAAGCCAGACCTCAAAATTCATGGATTTTGTTCTCCATTGAGGCTCTCTGCCTCTGCAGTGGTTCATGACCCATCTTTGCATTGTATATTCCAAAATCAATGCTTACTATCTGCCCTAGAAGCACTCTCCTAAATTAAGTTTTCAACCTCACAGAGGAGAAAGACTGGAAAGTTAGCATTGATTGAGTCAGTGCTAACTTCCTTACAACAGTTTCATTAGTTGGGGTGTTGACAGTGTACCTCTGAGGTTTATCCTTTGATTCAGCTCGCTTCCCAAGCCCATGCCTGAAACCTCATGCAGCATCCTGAGAAGGCTGAAAAGGCAGCAGTACTTCCTCTTGCATCCTAAGTCACAGAACCATAAGATCAGAAGGGATCACAAAGGTCACCTAGTCTAACTCCCTTCCAAAATGCAGGATTTTTTGTGTCTAAACCATCTAGGACAGATGGGCTTTCCAGCCTCCTTCTGAAAACCTCCAGTGAAGGAACTTCCATGACTTTTCTAGGCAGTCTATTCCATTGTCCTATTGTTCTTACGTCTAGGAAGTTTTTCCCGAGAATGAACGTAAATCTGCAGTATTGTAGTTTGAACCCACTGTCTCTTGTCCTGCTGTCTGTGGCAGGAGAGGACAACTTTTCTTCATTATTGTATGGCAGCCTTTCAAAATTTGAAGACTGCTATCATGGCCCCCCTTTTTCCAAACTAAACATGCCCAATTCCTTCAGCCTTGCTCATATGGCTTGCACTCCATCTCTTTGGTCATTTTTGTCACTTACTTTTGGATCCTTTCCAATTTCTTTATCTCCTTTCTATACATAAGTGACCAAAATTGGACACAGTAGTCCAACTGAGGCCTAACAGGAGCTGAGTAGAGCATTATCATCATCTCCAGTGATTTGCATGTTGTGCCTCTGTTTATATACTGCTTTGTTTTTCAGCACCATCCCATTTTTGACTCATGTTGAAGTTGTGTTCCACCCCAACTCTCAGGGCTTGACTCCACTTACCAGGAGATCAAAGTTGTGGAGATTGATCTCCTGGAGTTTGATTTAGCAGGTCTAGTAAAGACCCTCTCAATTGGTATCTGATAGCACCTCTGTTGACTCTGGTACTTCATTGGGTCTCAAGGAGTAGGAGAAGTCCATGAGAGAGTATCTCCTGTAGCGAGGATGCTGTGAAAATTCTACCTAAAGTACATTGACTCCAGCTACACTATTCATGAAGCTATGATCCAGTGGAGACCTGGCCTCAGACTCTAACAAACAATAAAAACAAATGGAACACCAATGCAGACTCTTCCTCATGGATGTGAAACTTCCCCAGCTAGTGGGATGTGGGCAGACCAGGAGAGAGGTGTGTAACCTGAGAATCTGCCTCACAGTGTGAACAGTGTGTGAAAGTCCTTATCACTGTGTTGGTCTTCCGGACCACTCCCTGAACTCACACAGCTTTTGGTCATTGCCACGGTCTGGCTGTGGAAACTCAGCCCTCCATCTTATGGGCTTGCTTTCCTAGGTCTGACACCAGCTGAGTTGAGCTTCTCCCTTTTACATTTCCTTCCAAGCCTAGCATTCCCTGCAAGGCTGGTAGGGCTGCTTGGTCCCATGCAGTCCATTGATCCGGTCACCTACACCCTGTCACAGTCCCACTTAGCTGCGTCAGCCTTTGGGCTGAGGTTAGCCTCTATGGAAGATCTTTGGAGCCATGCTTCAGGTTGTGGAGTGAGGATTCTCCCCTCAGCCCTCCATTTATCTGCTCAGTGCCTAGTCTGGCTTCTCAGACCAAGTGCTTTGCTCAGGATTTGAGTTTAAATAAAAATAGCCATGGTAAACATAAGTGTTTGCGTTCCTTCTGCAAAGTTTTATGGTCACATATTTTTTAATATAAAAGATAAGTTTAAATAATTTGGAAGATGTGTCAGGTATGGGTGTCAGCAGTTTTATTGTGTTATTAGCAGCAGAATGGTTTTCTGGTTTTCATGTCACTTTTGTGTTCATTATGAAATTCAAAGGATTGGAGGGGAGAGAGAACTACAATTTTTCTTTTTCTAAATCTTATCCCAATGTATTTTATAACACAAAGGCCTGAGAGAAATAAAAATAAATATACTTATTTTGTTGCCTATTCCATTTTTTAGCCTATCTGTAATGAACCTTAGGATAAGGGTATGTCTACACTGCCACGCGGAGTAACGGTAGTTCAAATTAAGAGAGCCTAATTCGAACTACGTACTCCGTGCCACGTGTAGCCGTGGGCACGGAGTCCGCACTAACAGGGATTTAAAAATGACAGCGCCCGGCAAGATGCAAATGAGGCCCGGGATATTTAAATCCCGGGCTTCATTTGCAACTTCAAATGCCTACATTAGCCACCCTAGTTTGAACTAGGGTAGCAGTGTAGACATACCCTAAGTTATTAACATGGTCTGCTAAATTATGTCTGATTATGGAAAAATCTGTACTCAAGCTGTAACTATGCATTCTCTTTCCAAATTATTTAATTGAAATATTTATACACATTTTAAAAGATCTATCTATCTATCATAGAAAAATAAGCACAGAAGTGTTTATTCAAAGCAAAAATACATAAAACTACTCTGGCTACAAATCACCACCATTGGTGAACACATTGAAGTTCAGTGATACCATACAGTTGCTATTACGGCATTTTAGTTTTTATGATCTCAGGTTACTTTAAACATTAGATTTTTTGAATTTTTATCATTTCCTAAAATGGCGGAGTTAAGGATTTTTGGGCACCTTTCTTATATTTCCATATCTTAACATGTTTGATATTTTTTTAAAAAGTTTAACCTTGCTGTATTTTCTGGGTTTGCAGTGTGTTTTTGAGGAGAATTACAGTAATGTATTATATCCTAAATTACTGATATGTACTATAAACCTTTGAGAGGTCACGAGAAGAGAGTGGAGGCTTGGGGAAGAAGGAGGAAGCAGAAGTGTCTATAGGCCTCAGTAGGGGGCACTGGAGAGAGGACTGTTTTGGGGGAAACTGACCTCATTAGAGAGAATGGCACTACATGAAGAGGAGACCAGTTCTATAAGGACTTCTGCTGCATTGCCACCTCAGAGCATATTGTAGCAAAGGCAGCTTTCTGAGCACCACATGCCCAGAATCACCTGTGACCAAGCAATCTGCAGCAGTAGATGGGGCCAAGAGATCTGCTACGGAGAACTTTTGTCACATGAGTCCAGTTTCTGTCACATCACTGGCTCACTTCAATTAACAGAATTAATGCATGCAAATAAGCTGCAGAGGAAGAGCTGAGTTTTCTCCAGTGTTAAAATGGCCTCCTTTGAGAGTGTAAGCGGTCTATCTAGACCCATATATATAATCATAGCAATTAGCTATAGCAAATGTTAATCACTTAGCTTCATTATAACCTAATTTTTTCAAATGTAATTTGTGCATGAGATGTAATTAATTTTAGCTATTTGAAAAAATTGAAGTATTTATTATTGAGATCATTTGGGGGACGGGGAAGTTTCATACCATGTGCTAAATTTCTTAAAAGAATACATTCTCAAATTAATTTTGTTTCAAACAAATGAAACTATTTACTTGTAAAATCTCAAAAAACTCCCTCTGTACTCTGTAAATATGGGGAGGATATGTATTCTTAATAAATCACAGAAAAGTTGAATCCATGCTTTCAGTGTAGAACTCAACTCTGTACCCACTATCTACTTGTTCATAGAGCTACTGGCTTTGGTATGTTATATCAAACCTGTACTATATGCAGTTCTTGAAGCTCAGTAAATAGGAGTATGTATTTAAAATAAGTGTAAATATCAACTAAGATTCCAGTTCTGCTCCCCAGAAAAGCAGAAGATAGAGCCTGGGTCAGTACAAAAGAGAGAAGACATATAATCGCATGTCTCTAAAATCTAGAGTTAAACTACGTTGTTTATAAGTATTTAATAAAAATACCTCAGAGCACAAGAAATGTCTCTAGTTTGTCATTGTCCTTTTAAGCTATGCCAGCAATTTCAACTATTTCTTGGAAAGGTTCCCTTGAAGAGATTTTCGGTACCAATGAATGAGTCTTTGTGTTCTGAGGAATGTGAGGTCACACCATTCTTTAATATGGTAAAACCCTATATAGGGCATTTTTCACAGTAGCAGAGACCACAGATGACATATTATCTCTGGTATATCCTAACAGCATATATTAATAAAGTTGTATTGTTTTCCCATGCTTTCTCCAGTATCTCATGTATCAGTTCAGTTTCCCCAAAGACCTTTTGTTTTTAGAGTTAGCCTGCACCTTACAAAAATCCGAATGACAGGCAAGCAAAGGCAAGGGCGTAATTCAGCCCCTTCAGCATTCTACAATAAATTACAAAGCTGTTGGGCAAAGTTTTTTTGTCTTATGCAGCTGCTGAATTAGAGGTATTTCTAAAATGCAGCCTGCAGGAAATGGAATAGTACTTTCAAATCCAAAATGATTTCAGTGGATACTAGCATTCTTATTTTAATTAAATATGTTATGGCCATTTAATCCTGTGGTAAGTCTACTGCCTCACTATCATCTCCCAAAAATCTCATTGGACTTTTACAAAATGATTGTATAGTATACAGAGACAGTTTTAAAAAGCCATAGTGTGATCATTCATAAACTGATTGCCCATTTTTCCTATCTCCTGTGTAAGAGAGTGAATAGTGGCTGTTTGTGATCTAACAATTCGGTGTTTGGGTTTTTTTCTTTTTGACTGACTTGTGTGATTTGTATTAACTTAAAATATAATAATTAAAGCTGTTAAGTGATTTAAAAAATTAATTGCGATTAATCGCATGCGCTGTCACTTTGAAACGCTGCGGCAGCGTTTCAAAGGGGCAGTGCTGAGG